AGCTTCATTAGCATTAGACTCAGGCTAAACCCATCCTTGCTAAAGCCCATTATTCATTCAGCTGTAGATAATGATGCCGAGGATACTCTGTTTCATCAATTCTAGGAAGTGCATTTTAACATTTCTGAAACAGGATCAATGGCACCTCACGACTGCTGCGGGCTAGGCGGCAGTCGGGTCCAATTGTCAACGCACACGTGAACATAAAAGTGGCAGCATCAAGACTTGGCAGAATGACTGTCCATGGCTCGGAAGAAAATTCCTAAGACAGGAATGTGCATGGTTTTAACTCAGAGGAACCAAATAGTTCAGAAGGGAGGAGGTAAGGGATGAAGGTTTAGCTACATTCCCAAAGCAGAAATCGTTAAGTAGACTAGTTTTACCTAACACTCAAGAAACCAAAGCCAATGGCCTCAGTTCTTTGACAGAACCTTCCACTCTGTTCTATCACCAAGGCGCCTGATGACAGAGGAAACGTGGGAAAACATGAGATCTGAGATGAACACTGCTCCCTTAACACACTGGGTGCCACACTAGGAAAAATGTTTTTCCTTGAAGCCATAGTGTTTTATAGCAAGGTCAAAAGATGTGTGAATTGTACATGCTTCACCAGGCCTAAGGCTCAAAACTAGCCTAAGTTAAATACAACTCACATAGCCGTTAATGTGTTCATCCATTCATTTCTTGTGTTTTCCTTTTTATGTACACACGGAGTGACATGATAAAAATGTGTGTCAAATTAAGTCCCAAATAAGCACTCAGAATAACTTACAGACTCTAAGTGATATGACAGCAGTTTAAGTGGCAGCAGCTTTTCTTAATGGTTTATTAAAACTGGAGCATCTTATAATTGGCATTTTAGCCATTTATTTTTAACTGGACTTTTAGATTGGATGAGATACAGCACTAACAATGACAATCACAGCTAATGCTTAAGCAGTGGTTCTCAACCTTCTAATGCTGCGACCCTTTAATACAGTTCCTCATGTTGTGGTGACCCCCAACCATAAAATTGTTTTCGTTGCTAAGTAGCACTTAATTTGACACACATTTTTATCATGTCACTCTGTATGTACATAAAAAGGAAAACACAAGGAACAAGCTGATGAACACATTAACTGCTACGTGAGTTGTATTTAACAGGCTAGTTTTGAGCCTTTTGTTGCTAAGTAGCAATGAAAATAATTGTATGGTTGGGGGTCACCACAACATGAGGAACTGTATTAAAGGGTCACGGCATTAGGAAGGTTGAGAACCACTGGCTTAAGGGATCTTACTGATACCCAGCCTTCAGTTTTTCACATTGCTGTGAGACAGGTACTGTAACACAATTGTTCTCATTTTACAGATGAGGAAACTGAGGTGCAAATCAGCTCAGTGACTTGGGCTGGGTAGCTCACCTGGGTAGTCTAGCCTAGGAGCATGCTGGAGGTGGCACTGACCTGAATGCTGGCACTTGACGTGAACCTGCAGCAGAGCTGGTGTGGGGAAGAGCTCCTTACACTGGTCACATTCGTGGAACTTCATATCTGTGAAGTGCAGAAGGAAAGAAGTGGTGGGAAAGAACAAAAGGGAGGCTCTCCACAGTTGGGGGGGTAACAGGGCTGGCAGCAGGGTGATGGCTAATACGTAGTAAGCATCCGCCAAGTGCCAGGAGCCTTAAACCTGTGATATGCCCAAATAATCTAGTGGCAAAGAATATCAGAGCAGGATCCAAACTGCCTGAATACAAAGCGAGTTGTGAGAATGAAATGAGAAAATACATACGAAGTGCTTAGCACAGTGCCTTGAACATAGGAAACGCTCTGTAACTGACAGCTGCAGTGATTAGCCCCAAATTTACCAGCAAGGTAGGTTTTAATAGCTGCCATTCTAAAGACAAAGGAATAGGCTGAGAAAACAGAAGTCACTTGTCAAGGTCATGCAGTGACAGCTGATAAGGGCTAGAATCAGGATTTCTACGGGGGCCTGCCTCCCACCAAAGGCGACCCCCTTCCCACGTGCCGTGACTGGTTCTTGCTCAGAGGCTGGCAGGAGCTCACACTGCTCTGTCTCCAGGCTTGGGACCCGTGGCCACTTAAGCTGCTGCTACTCACAGACCAGTGCTGCAGCCTTGAGGGGTGCTAGGGCGGAACAAAGGCAACCACCAAAGCACACGTGGCTAGAGCACAGAAGTCAGGCTTTCTGGATAGCCCTGGAGACATCGTCAAGCCCTCTTGCTCTGCGGCTCACACTCTGATTCTACCTGCGTGCTCCGCTTTGATGTGCTTCTTATGCTCAATGGTGTTGGGGAAGGTTTTGTCACAGGAGCTGCACTGGAAGGAGGAGAACTTGGAAGACCGATGGTTCTGAGCAGCAAACACATCAGGGTGGTGGGTCCGATTATGGTACCACAAACCAGATAATTGCTGCAAAGAATTTGGCAAACGTTAGGTTTTAGAAAGTTCCAGTAAGCTAGAGACCTCGTAAGGCCCGGGGGGGGAGAAATGTTATCAAGTACACTTCTGGACCTAGAATCATACTCTCCTACCCACCATGCTGAATGCTGATGTGAGGACTGGCTGTTGTTGGTGGGAACAAGGCAATCATGTACCCACGGAGAGGCCGCTGTGGGGCAGGGCTCAGGGGAGTCCTTCACACACGGTCACTCCTCACAACAAGCCTACAGGGAGGTGTTAGGGTCTTTCCAGCAAGTGGAAGCTGAGGCACAGACGGACTGAATGACTAATCACACAATTAGTCAACAGGAGGACCAGGATTCAAACCCTGGCCTTCTGACTATACCACCTATGTTCTTCACTGCTAAGCTGGGTCTCACTGCTCTCCAGAGGCCTGCTGGAGGAGTACATGCTGTCCCTACCCCCATAAGCAAGTGTCCCCACCCCATAAGCAAGTGTCCCCCTCCTTCCTGGCTCCAGAGCAGCACTGGGAACCCTCTCCCTACAACTCCATGGTCTCCTAGAGCTCACACCCAGGTCTTAGTTCTGCAATGCTAACACTACAGCACAAGGCTTGGCACCAAGTCAGTTCTGAAATTATCGGTTATGCTTCTTAGCCTATACCCAAATCTTACAAATGCTGGCACAACTGTTTTTTCCTCTGTGGTTTTAGAGTTTCTCATAAATGTGGCTTCTTTTTAGTTCTATATGGGGTTTCACTTTAATTATGTACCAAATTCTAAGGTTGAAAAGCCAAGGCCTTCCCTGGGAGTTAAAAAAGATAAACTGTAATTGTGTTAAATAAGATAATTCCAGGTAGTATCGCACTCCCCACTGTCATTGTCATGTCCCTTGACACATGGGGTCGATAGGCTCTATAGAATGTGAGCATCCAAGGGGAAAAGTGTATTCAGTTCAAGACAAGGCTGGAATCTAAGAGACGGGGGTAAGAACATGCAGCTCCAATTACAGCTTCCCCCTGCATCACTCTGACCAGGTCTCCTCAGAGAATGTGAACCACAAGCTGCATTCTTCATGAGAATCAGCCAATTGTCACCTCCTGGATACCAGACACGATGCACAAGCTATACACACAGGAATCAGGGACGCTCAATGGAGAGTAGGTGGGGACTGGTGGGGGAGCTCCCAGGACCACCTGAGGTCACCTGGTAGGCCTTGTTGCAGATCCCACAGCTGAAGGGCTTCCCTCCGACGTGGGTCACCATGTGCCGCTCCAGCATGGAAGGGGCACTGAAGATCTTCCCACATGTGGGGCAGGGGTGGTACTCCTTGGAGTGCACCTCGTGGATGTGCTTCCGGTGATCCTGCAGAGTGGGGAAACTCATCCTGCATTTCTTGCAGTCATAAGGATCTTCTATGTCTGGTTTCATGAGGGACATCCATGAGAGAAGGAGGTGGGGAAAGAAAAAGACACCACAGGCAGCAATCAGTGACACGGTGGTGGTTATGCACAGCAAGATTCCAGACTCTGTTTAAATATCACTCAAGGTCACAGACTCCAAGGACCAGAAATCAGAGCAGCGATCACCTAACTATGCCTTTGTGCCAGGAGATGGGATTCCTCTAGGAGTTTAGAATTAGCCACCTTTGTAGCATCAAAGAGCTCAGCTTAATTCCTTATTTTGTATCTTAGAAGTTAAATACTGTTTTATTCCTTTCCAAGGAGTATCGCCCTTATTCTCCCCGTTTGCAATGCGCCTTCTGAGTTTTCTAATTCTCTACAGAGATTTCCTTTGTCACCAGTGGCGTGACTGGAGGAATGCTTCCTTGTTCCTCACTTTACAGTCCATAATAAAAACATCTGCATGGGTGACCTTTCGTGAGTGCTCTATGACAGGCATGTCCTAAGTAAGTTAATGTACTTTATGGATATTAACTCATTTAATCCTTCTATTATCTTCCCTATGTTACAGATTAGGAAAATCAAGATTTAGAGTGTAAAGTTAGTACCTTGCCCAAGGGCACAACTAGGAAATGGCTGAGCTGGGTAACAATCCTGGCTCTCATTTGCAAGTACATGCTCTGAACTAGGAGCTTAATTGGATAAGACAACTCTTGAGTGAGACCTCAAAAAATAAAAGCTTGCCTTGATGAAGAATTCATTTGCTGCCCTCATGGCAGGAAACTTTGGTCTCTTTCTTAAACAACAGAAAGTGAAATGTTTTAATAGTAAAATCCTTTGCCTACAAGGAAGGCCCAGCCCACAAGCTAATCTCATGCAGACACGGATTCAGATTAATTTAGGAATTCTGACATGCAGCAGCACTGACTGCAACTAGCAGGAATTCTGACAGGCAACTAGTTTGCCTGTGGACATGAATTTTGGGATCTCAGTTTTATATTGTCTTTTAAAACATTTTGATGCATTTTCATAAGCAATATTGTGGTCTGGGAAACAGGCAAAGAACTGCAGGGGATGAGATATACTAGGGCATGGCAAGTATTTGGGGTCCTTCCCGTTCTGAAAATGAATCATGTGTTTCCCCTTTCCTGACTCCCACATAATGCTCCTGGGAAAAGCAGAATAAATGGAATGTCATTTTAAAGAGGTCAAGAGGATGTCAAAATTGTGGTGTGAGATCCAAGCCAAATCTTACCCATCTGCAAGTCTACTGTAACTGGTTTTTTGGACAGCCTTGTAAACTCCTTGTGGGGAAGGAGCCACACTTAATCTTCACTCCTCTTGCACCACTCAGCATCTAGCCACATGCTGGGGACATAGGAGGTCTGGCAAAGTTCTTGTTGGCTGGCTGATGACAGACTTGAATATGCTGGCACACAGCACATTTGTGAGACACTGTATTTGCCAACATCTAGAAACTAACGTGTGGGAAGATGGCAGGGAAGGAAAAGGGGAAAAAGAGTATGTAAGCTACATGCTGGCATGCAAAAAAGACAAGGTTTGATGGTGACAAATGGCACCTTGCTCTTGTCACCAATAATAATACCTGGCATTTACTGAGCACTTTCTATATGTCAGCCATGGAACTCCATACTTTACATGTGGTATCTCATTTAATTCTCACAATAATCCAAGGTGGTGGCATAATTATTGGCTATAGTTTACAGAAGGGGCTTAGAATGGTTAAGAAATTTGTTTAAGCTCTCAAGGAAAGTAAGTGGCAGGGTCAAGATTCAAGTCCAAGCCTGTGTGATTTCAGAGTCCAAGCTTTTAACCCCCCTGCTGTGCTGTGCTGATTACACTCCTGTCGCAACCAGAGAAGCCGAAGCAAACATGACAGGGCCAGCCAAATGCCACACCGGCGATTTCCTGAAACTATAATGAGGAATCACAGAATTTCTTTTACCTTCCTGTGCGTGTGTGTGTGTGCGTGTCTGTGTATATGCATGTATAGTGAATAAAAGTGTGTTTCTGCCTGTCATCAGTTCTGGTGGAAGGAGAGAATGATGGGGTCAGACTCCATTAATTGAGTGAAATATAATGGCATTCAGAAGGGAATGCTGGGCAGAAGGCTTTTAAGGGAACATGACCAGGGACCACTTATGACTGTAGACATTAACTCAGAAAGTGTCTCTGTTGCTCCTATGGGAAAAGGCAGATAAAAGATGAGAGTGGGAGGAAGGTGGTTGGGTAGAAAACAGAAGCTCATGGACTAATGGACATATCCCAGCGCTCTGTGGCTTACCAGTCACAGAGGCTCTCTCCTTCAAAGATAATTTGCCTGTCAGGCAAACAGTGCCAGGTGGGCTAAAAAGGAAGATAAGGAAACAGCTTGGCTGGACAGAAATAACCATCATACAAGGATATGTTAAAATGGGATTCTTTCTGAAATAGGGCCTTCCAGAGCAGGGGAGGGGAATGAATGGGGCCTGTGTCTGGTGGAGTGATACCTCGGCTACAGCTGTCATGTGCATTCTCAGGGCCATGCCTAGCGCTGAGTGCCTGCTCTCAGTACGTACTGTGAAAGGTGTGCAGGTGGATGGAGAGGCCATTAGCCTGTCGGAAGCCCTTGCCACAGTCCCTGCACACATATGGCTTGTCCCCGGTGTGGGTCCTCACGTGGCGAGACAACTCAATGGACTGAGCAAACACAGCGTCACAGTACTGGCATGCATACATTTTTCCTGCAAAAATGCATGAGCTTATTAGAGCCACCACTAAACATTTATGGCATTGCTACAAACAAAATCAAGGCACACATCAAGGAAACATCATCTTGGAATAATATTAGAACATTGGGCAATCTGTAATATGCTGGGTGACAGGTCTGAGCCTTCTTGTCACACAGCACCTCACAAACACGGGAAGTCACAGAGAGTGTGAGTGTGGTTGATGTAGGAATAAGGACAGAGCACTCATACACAAGAGAACCCATCTGTTCACTAGGCCGCTGCACACAAGGAAAAGCTCATTTCCTCCCCAGTGAACAGACACGTCCTTGCTCCCAGAAATACGTTGAGTTTGGATCTCCTCGCAACATACACAACTCCAACTGTGTGGATCTGCCACTGCCCACAAAGACGAGAGGTGTGGATTCCCAATGAGCACTTTCTTTAACTGACTAGTTATAAAGTTATTACCATGTTTCCCCGAAAATAAGACACTGTCTTATATTTATTTTTTCTCAAGAAGACATACTATTTTCGGGGGATGTCTTCCTCTCCATGCTGAAATGCATGGCGTGGCTATGCAGGATATCTGCATAGCCGTGCCCATCACTAGGTCTTATTATCAGGGTAGGGCTTATATCTAACAAATGCATAGAAATCCTGCTAGGGCTTATTTTGGGGGTAGGTCTTATTTTCAGGGAAACATGGTATGTATCACTTGGTTTCTATATAGTTTCACACATATAATGAGAATGTAATGAACAGACTACCAATGACTGCTAGAAAACACAGGTAAAGAGCAAATGTGGAGAACTGGCATTTGTAAAAATATAAGATCAGCTGAACCTCCAAACTCCCCTGTAGGCCAGGAGCGGAGGTGGGACAGTCAATGAGGTGAGGCTCCAGACTGGGCCTGAGGCTCACTCTAACCACAGTAATCGGCCTCATTTCATTTTTTACACACTGGGCTTTGAAATAAGCTTCTGTTGGAAATAAAGCATTTCTTGAATCAAGAATGAAATTACTGAGAAGCCTGGAGCTTAGTCCTTGACCCTCCTTACTTTCCAGCTGATCACTGACAGCTCTCATATCTGTAGCTCTAGCTCCCACAATTCCCCAGAACTCCAGACTTTGTCTGACTCCCCATTGCTCCACCTCTCCACCAGGAGGTTGAATAGGCATCTCAGATTTATTTATCCAAAATAGAGCCCCTGATGTCCTATGCACACCCACCTCTGGAGGCAGAGGCTGGAGTGATGTGGCCAAGAGCTAAGGAATGCAAGCAGCCCCTAGAAGCTGAGAAAAGCAAAAAATGGGCTTTCCTCTAGAGCAGGGGTTCTCAACCTTCCTAATACTCTGGCCCGTTAATACAGTGCTTGTGGGTTGCAACCCAGAGGTTGAGAACCGCTGCTCTAGAGCATCCAGAAAAAAACCAACTCTGCTGAAACTTTTGACTTTAGCTTCATGAGGCCCGCTTTGAACTTCTAACTTCCTACCCCAAACAGTAAGATAAAACATTTGCATTATTTTAAACCACTATTTGTGGTTATTTGTTATGGCAACAAAAGAAACTAACACAGGTGGTGCCTGTGGCTCAAAGGAGTAGGGCGCCTGCCCCATATGCCAGAGGTGGCAGGTTCAAACCCAGCCCCAGCCAAAAAAACTGCAAAAAGAAAAAGAAACTAACACACTTCACATAGAAATAGAAGTCCTTACCCTGGCTTGTCAGAGCCTGCAAGGTCTGGCCTTTGGTGACCTCCTAGCCTTCTCTCCTAATACCCTTCCTCACCCTGCTGTGGCTCCTCCCAGCTTTCAGTGATCTCTCAGCAGGTGAAGCACAGTCCCCCGTGGTGGGGGGTGCTCCGCACTTGTGATGCTCTTCTCCTAGGTTCCCCACTGGCTCCACCTCTCACTTTTTTTCAGGTTTCTACTAAAATACCACCCCTCAGAAGCCTTCTCCGGTGATATGAACAGCCCACCCCAGCCCTGCCACTCCCTTGCTCTGCACCCTGCTTTGTACTTCTTCATAGCAATGACTATTACCTAAATTTATATTATACATTTATTTCCTTTGCCTATTGAAATGTTAGCTCCACATAAGCAGGGTATGTATATTTACAACATCCCCCTGCCTGGAACTGCTACTCTAAGTTCCACAGATAGAGCAGTGAGAAAAAAGATTAACAGTTGGACCTTCACAAAGCTTGAACTCCAACAGGGGAGACTAAGTAAGTTACTGAAGTAGATACAACATTGTATGATAAATGCCACAGAGGAAAAGAATGCAGGAGAACTAGGGTAAGGACTGAGACCATACAGGGTGGTCAGGAAAGGACTCACAGAGAAGGCCAAGTGTGAGCAAAGACTTGAAGGAGGTGAGAAAGGGAAGCATGGCTGTCTGAAGGGAAGAGTCTCAAGCAAAGGGAAGGGCAAGCACAAAGCTCTTGGGGCAAGTGCCTGCAGGCCTGAGCCCTGGCCAGGAAGCCGGGAAGAAGAGAGGGAAGGGAAGAGTCATAAGAGATGAAATCAGAGAGGAATCGGGGGACTTAATCGCAGAGGTCCTGGTGGGCTATCCTAAGGCCTCTGGATTTCACATAAAGTGAGATAAAAAGCCATCGCAGAGTTTTGAGCAGAGAAGTGACCTGACATGGGTTTAGTTTTATAAGTATCTAGGGAAATGGTAAGAGCAAGGAGGCCAGCTACAAGGCTATGGTGACAAGCCAGGTGGGATGAGGGCTGCATTACTGTTTATACATTAACGTTCCAAATAATACACAGACTTTTCCAATAAGCCTTCCCTGACAATTCACCTCTGACCAGACTAAAAACCTCTTCATTCTTCCATATGGCCCTGGCATCACTCCATATTACACCACTGGTACTCTGAGCTCTAACTGTGTCTATCCTCCCCCCAAGCTATGTGCGCATAGGAATGCCAGGCTGTCACTCAGTACCCGGCACTGCCCGACCTGTAGTAGGTGCTCGGTCAGAGCTGTCCTCATAGTTGAACTCCACCCCAAAGCTCAAAAGATTCTGGCTTCACATAAATTCTGTAACTATAAAGTCCTACTACATTAGCCTGCCAGAAACTCTCCCGGTGAATATTTTATGTCTGTGCAGACATGTATTCCTAGGTATCAGTGTGCCTAGAGACTCAAAATTCTGTTTTTGTTTTTAATTCGTTTGAGAAACATATCATGCCTAATTCCAAGTGGGTTGTAGGCAGCTCACACAGTGAAGTCAGCAGGAGAAATGTCGACCTTCTCCACGCCTTACCCTCCGAGTGCTTCTTCTTGGTATGGTAGGCCAGGGCGGAGGCCTGGGTAAAGGTCATGAGGCAGTGCTTGCACATGAACGGGCGGTCCCCAGTGTGAAGGCGAAGGTGGTTCTTTAGGGTGGAATTGGCTGCAAACTTTGCCCCACACTCTTCACAGGAGAAAGGTTTCTCATCAAAGTGCTCTGTCAGCTTGTGGTATTGCATGCCTAGGAAAGCCGCGCCAAGGACCAGAAAAGACACCATGATCAACATTCCCCATCCAGCAGAAGGATGCAGAGAGCACTGTCTCCAGGCAGGCCTCCCGAGGAAGCCCAGCACGAACCCCAGAATGCCCTGCCGTGCTGGCTCCTACTGCACAAGGCCACACCACTCCTCTGCCCCACTAGTGCCCCAAAGTCACCTGGCCTCACTCTTGGGATCAGGCAGGAAGTGATGCTAGGTTTATCTTCCCCACCCCACCCCCCTCTTGAACAGGACCCAGTCACTAAGGAACAGGAAAACAAAATGCATTTTTATGTTTTATTAGGTTTATCTAACATCTGGACAAGGGAAACAATTCTGACTGTACATCCCGTGGCTTCCATGACTCTTGTTTATTATCAAGAAACAAGCGGTACACAGAAACCTATGAGTCACCTTTAAGTGACTGGTTATATTATTTTGAATAATAACCACTATAAGTTACCAGTGCTGAGTCTGTTGTAGGCATTGGATGAGGTGTTTAGCTGTTATCCTAAATCTTCATAATAACCCAAAAGACCAAGTGGTCTGAGGGTGCCTATTTAAGAGATTTGGAGAAATCAAAGTTCAGACAGCAGATTCCAAATTACTCTGCCTCTGTAGGAACCTACTCTGTTTTCTAAGCCTACCCACATCCCTCAATTCACACATCTAGGGGCAAGGCTGGGAATCTAATCTATAATAGCCAGAATTATCATCTTACATATTCTGTCTTCCCGAATGTACGTACCTGAGGCATGGGCAAATTCCCTCCCACAGAGGTCGCATGTCACTGGAAGCCTCTTCTTCTTCTTCTTGGGGATGTCGGGTTCTCCGCCTGCACCATGGGCCTCCAACTGATGCTTCTCCAGCTCTTTCTTGGAGTCCTTGGTCTCGCTGCACTCCTTACACTGCACCTGTTTGCTCTTGGCCACTCGGCAGCGCTTCATGTGCACCTTTAGGCGGCAGTAGAAATGGAAGCTTTTGTCACAGGCCTTACAGACAAAGTTTTTCTTGGCAGAGTCTGGGGAGGCAGAAGTGTCCTTCTCCTGTTGTCCTGGCAAGGAACCCGTCTCTCCTTGATCATTTTGTTCCCTAGACTGACAATCTTCTTCAGCTGGCTCAACTGCCTTTCCGTCTTCTTTGTCATTGGCTTCAAGGTGAAACTTCTTGCTCACCTTCCAGGCTTCCTTCTCTCCATTCTCCTTAGTAAGGAAACCTGAATAACAGAGAAATATCATGGCTCTGGGAATTCTCTGTTTCTACTTTGCTTTGTAATTTTTCTACCATGCTTCTTACAGGAGACTAGAGACTACCTGGGACACTGGAAAACACTTTGAAGTAATATCATTGTCACCTTTACTTTCCAATAAACACAACAGCATCATTTTACATCTATGCCTCATGACACTTTTAGGTATCAAGAACATATAGAATGAATACTTTAAGGTAGTGATAAATTCTTACATGAAGTCCTGCCTCTTTTCAACCTGGGGAGGCCTGGTAGACTCCCCGACTCCACCCTGTTTCTTACCGAGATATGCTAACTCCTGCATGATGGGCTGCAGGCCTGGAAAAGATTTGTGGACACTGCACAGGAGGTGACATATTTCAATGGCCGAGACTGATTTTTCCATGGTTTTGCTCAACGCTGCTCTCAGGGAAGCTTCAGGGCTCGCTGTCTCAGAGGAAATGCTCAGAATCTAAATGAATACCATGAGACAAAGGTGTGGGGTTAATCTCAGTGAATTTTCTCCATGGTTTTCAACTTTTAAAAAAAGGTAATTCCAGGAAGGTATCGCTCCATTTATAAGTAGATACATTATAAGTACATACATTGGAGAGCCTTCTTATAATGCATACACTGTTTTTCCCAAAGAACAGGAAAATGAACAAAATAAAAAAAGGAAGCACATATCAAGATAAATGTACAAACATAAAGACACAAGCAGGGAAGCATAAAGTATTTTTTAAAAGGAATATCTTCCCAGAAACTATGGGTCACCCAGATAACTCTTTTAGATCTTAATATTAAAAGCTCAGAAAGCTACAGGACTTGAGTGTTGGGGTTTCTGTCTTGCAGATCAGGATCATTCTTCATAATATATGATTGTCTCAATGTCTGGAAGTAATTCTGCATGATCAGTGGCTTCATATTTTTAGATTCTTAGATGTACCCTTTTAAACATCATTTTCTTTCACAAAAACTCAGCGTTTTAAAGAAGGTTCAAATAGGAGCTTTAAAGAGGCCAAGAATATTATTTCAAAGCTTTCCTCTTTCAGAATGTTAAAGCTATCAGCAGAAAGAGTCAGTACACTGAGAAAATAAAGCTAAACCATCCACAGATGGCCAAACGGAATTTTCATTTTGGAAGATATTTTATTTCTGCTCTTTTCAAGTCTATTGAAATAAATCTGATGTCCCTGGAGGCAGGCATGAGACTAATTAGTGAGGCTGAAACTGATCAACTGCAGAAGTCCCGTCTCTAAAGTGTGTGGTATGCTGAAGCGAGTCTAGCAGATGAATCTTCCCTCTAAAGCCCCACAGAAATGTGTGTCATCTTATTCCCATCTGAGAGTCAGACCAACGTGAGCTGTCACCTGTAGGAATGGAGTAAGAAATCAGCCCTTCTGCACACCTTCCATAACTACTAGGATCAAAAGGGTGAATGTGTAGTTTAATTTTATATTCCTTTCTTATTCTTCCCTCCTCAAGTCACACGTGATCCTGGGCTAGACAGCCATAAGCTCCTCCAAGCCCCACCTGGTATTCCTGGGATGCTAGCCACATTTTGAGAAGCCTTACAGAAAATGAGTTGGCACTATTTGTTACCCCATATGGGCAAAAGCTTTGTTCTATCTATGTTTATCTTGGCTTTCTCTTGAAGCCAGAATAGAACATGTAATACAACCAGTTATCCTTTCCTTCATCTGAGAGAAGTTGCCTTCTTAGAACAGGTTAGAGAATAGTGTCATGGTTCCCCCTGAGATTTTCCCAGGTTTAGACAAATGGAATAAATCTAGGTATGAGTTACACAACCTGGGTTCAAATCCTGGTACCTACTGGAGCATCTAAGTAGTGTAACTGAACCCCTTGGAGTCTGAACTCCTTCGCCTGTAAAATGTACAGCATCACCTGCCAGGTAGAGTTGGGAGGATTAAAGGAGCAGGAGTGTTATAAAGTACAGCTGGGCACACAGCAGGTACTCTGCAGGTGTTGGTTCCTCCCTTAGGAATGAAGACAGCCTTGGCATCAACTCTATAGAATGCTGGGGATTCCATTTGTGGTTCACTCCCACCACACCTCTTTCACGGTCTCTGCCAGGTGCTCTTCCTCTGAGTTAAAGCACTTGAGCTCCATCCTTTGTTGGATGGCCTCTAGGATCAATTTGCTATGCCTCAGGCATATTTCTAAAGCAGCACTTTCTGGGGTGGTCACTGAAAGAGAGGGAGATTGAAAATTTATTAGTATAACTACGAGCACCATATTGTCCTTCCACTTTCCTCAACTCAACTCTTCACAGTGAGGACACATTTCACCTATCTCCCGTCTGGGGTTGGCAGGAAGGAACATGGCAGATAGCACTGTAATCAGAACGTAGTAATGAATATAATCTTAGAACAATTACTGAATTCTTAAAAAAAAAAAAAAAGGTTTACAAACTCCCGTGTCCTTGAACAAAATTGCCAGTCCTTACGTCTAATGGTAGGGATGTGAATGGCCACCATGAGAGAGCTCTATTTTCTGGAAATACTGACAATACTCTCCAGTAGGAACAAAACCACAACAGAAGTCAATAACTTACCTGCCCGGAAGAAAGCATCGGCACCAGGCTCCCTTCGTATTTCCTCCACCAGCAGGTTCAATGGGCAGGTCTTTGTCTCCTGAGCCACCAGCAGCAGTTGCCAAATGGTTGTAGCGGACAGAGCCTGCTTATCTAGAACTGCTGACATCAGGGAACTGAAACCACCTGAACCAGAGTCACGTTTCACAAGCTTCTCTATGACCTTCAAGACAGAGCATAAACACGCACATAAGCGACTTCCTAGCCACTGGCCCAGCTGCACAGCTGCGACTCTGGGTATTGGGTTACAGTGAGCATATTTCTGAGAGGGAGTTTTTCAACATCCTTCACCTCTGTCAACCTGAGAGATTTCTTATATAAGGTAAAGTTCTTCATTCCTCCTTTTGGATGCCTTTCCTTACTACCACAGAAATTACAACTATCCTACTTGCTACTACTTTGCCTTAAAAACTAAATTATCTTCTGTTTCTTCTTCTCTACTTAGCATTTCTCAACATGACTGTGTATGCATATTTATAGAAAACATAACTGTGTGTATATGTATGGATTCACATTTTTTTGCTTCTTTCTCTTTTTAGCCTCCCGCCTTCCCTCCTTCTCTTACCTCTCTTTCTCCAGGGGCTAAACTTGTCATGTGTGAGACCACCTTTAGTAACATCTGGTTGTCTGGGAAAATCTCAGAGAGGTTTTCGTGATACCGTCTTAATAGCTCAGTCCCAAAATCATCAAGGCTTGGTCGGACTGTAAGGACATTAGCAAAACAACAGTGTTGGATGCAACAAAACCTCCTACGGGAGACCATGGGGTACTACAGATGAGAGAAGAAGCGAGAGATCAGCATGAGGGCTGAC